TCATTTTTAATACATATTACTGAAAATTTATACCCTATGATCAAATCACAATATGTCGTGAGTACCGTTGACGATCTGTTATTCGAACAACGGTAAGACAGACAGAAGTATAATTCCATTTATCTCGTGGATAATAGTGAATATAAGCCTAAAGTTTATATATAATATAATGAACTTTAATTTACAGTTCGCTAAAGCTTAATGATACAATATATTAATATCGCACACCGCATAATCTCTTAAGAGCAAATAGTTTTAGCGCTTAGATTAAATCTTATCACTGTTACATGTATGAAGAAATGATTTATTTCGTCGATTTATAGGATACAATATGTCACGCAATTAATGTTCACCGTATAAAGTAGAAGTACAATTAGGGTGATAAAATTCGTGCTGAGTTCGAAGATACGCAAAAATTTGTAAGGTAAATTATAATCACAATTACTCGCTTATTATGAACTCGATGAAGGATCATCTCGCCAAAATTGTCAAAAAAATACTGTCACGCGGGGTAGAAGTGGGGGGCGGGATAAGGAGAGGGAGGCGATCGCGTCCTTATCGAAACGATCATCGTATGAAATACGTTGTTTATCCACCGCCATTTCCCGCAGAAGAGGAGATCATTGACGGCGGTCATTTCAGAACATGATCTCTGACGCGACATTTCGGACATCCGTGGGATACTAAATCGAAACTAATCGATATCAAATAGAGGATCTTTTTCAGCGATTCTTCAAGCTTTAGCTAAAAGCTAACTTATTTTTTTCAACAATAGTCATTAGCTGTTTCCTAATCGCGACTATATATTGGTCAATAAACAATGGTACGTTACTTGAGTAGTTTGAAATTTCCTTTGCATCCGATCTTTCCTGTAAAATGTTTTTAGAGAACACGTAATGATCCAAACACTTCCCCATATTTGGACCATGACATCTCTCTTTGTATTATTTATATATTTATTCGCATTATTTATTCTTTGTTACAATATCAAGAAAATCTCGATCACTTTACAGTCGGTCAATCTACAGTCACTATTGTGATTATTTTGGTCGTTGAAAAGATCGTAACTGCCTTAGCAGTTACGAATTTGACGATAGCGCAATAAATCGGTTTGGCACGCGATAATACGCAATGCAAAAACATTTTTAGATGCATACTACAAACTCGCTAAAGTTTCTAATCTTCCATTTACAAATTGTTTATTATGCCTTGGATTAAAATCGAAGCTACATGATTATATACTTTGATATTATTTGTATACAAAACAAAATTAGATCTAATAAGGGAGTGTCGCGATTATATCTTATTTATCATCGACTTGTTGAATAAGTCGATTTGTCAAATAACAAGGAGAATATCACGATATGATATTATAAAATAATCTAACACTATAGAAAATGTTGTTTTATCCTTTTTTTGTCATCGAGCTTCTGCTGAAAAACGAGTAGAGTAGAACGTGCAAAAAGTGTTACTTCATTACTTACTTATAAGACTTAAAGACTTACAAAAGTGAGCGAGTGGCTTCAAGTGATAAAGAATAGGCACTCTGCTTGTTCCGTTTTGCTGCTTCTTTTTGTCGCATTTTTTTTTCATTTTTTTTTCCCCCCTTTATTTAAGGGCGGAGAGAAAGATCTGTGCACACGAATTTGCTCGCGAATATACTCTTGAAAAGTGATATTGGATAAAATATACTTAGAGTATCATATCTCCGCACTGTCGAGAAGCATCAACTATCCTAGAAATAATTACTATAAAGCTCGAGAAATCCGTTTAGATTTTGTGCAAGTCATTTTATCGCGATCGATAGATCGTGTGTGCGAATGTGCTCTTTAACACATTAGACTTACTATGTAATGTTACTCTAAAAAGAGGAACGTTGCGCTATGAAGTGGCGTGATCCAGAAATAGAAATCTTCCCCGAATTTCGTTTCTGGATCGTCACGATCGTCGCGACTGTTCGATCGATTGAGTCACCTAATCTTACTGGATTCTTATAGCACTAGATTCTTATCTCAGAATCCGATTAGATTCGAGCTGATGAAAATCTATGAAATTCTGGCCATTTCACATACACATACACGCGCATGCACGCATTCCTTATATAACGATACAGTATAATTCGGGAGGAATTTATAATTTTATAGGATGCATGTTACGATAATGATGAATTTAAACGCGGACGATGTTAGGTGCGAGATGGTAATACCCTAAGCAAATTACAATAGCAAATTACAAGCAATTATAATTTTGCTTGACGCTCCTCCGCGAGAGCCATTATAGCAATGATAGCAACACTAATAACAAAAGTAATAATAATTATAACAAATACACAAGAATTATTGCAGTTACATATTGCACATGGATCACAGAGTGAAGACAGCTGCTAGGCATTATAGAAATAATCTACAAATAGTGCAGAGAGAACAGTGCCAAGCTTCCATGAATGATCAAGTGATATTTATCAATATATTTCATAAATCCTCTCTCGCACCATTCGAATGTGTAAATGTGTGTGTGTGTGTGTGTGTGTGTGTGTATTTATTTATTTATTTATTTATTTATATGTATATACTTTGTACTTATACTAAATAAATGGTCAATAAATTTAGATCTATATCTCTAGGAACGCGACAGCGCAGGCACTAAATTGTTGAGATACAATCGAATTGTGAGAGCTACGATCGCTCGTCTGCCCTCACAATTCTATCGCGTGCAGACATTGCAAGCTTTCGAGATATCGAGAGACATACTCTTATGTGATTAATAATAAGATATTCATACAAAGTCGCATATCTTTTATGGCGAAACTTGTGCGTAATCACGCTTTTGGTCGCTTACGCAAAGAGATTCTTTCCATATAATAACGGACATCCGAACAAAAGTATAGCGGATTTTCGTTGGACGTGACAAGTGCACATGCAATATTCATCGATAATACAATGTTATGTACGTTATTCATCATTTGCAACAAAATAATGGAAAGCATTTTCCTAGATGTACTACTGAAAGTGAAATTTCATGAAATAAAGCGCATCTAACGTGTCACAGAGAAGAGAGGAGTTGGAAGAGGCAAAAGCGATATTTGTCAAAGACAAAGCTTACGATATAATTAATAATACTTCCATATGATCCTAAAATACTTACTCTAAACCTTAACACTTTTTGTGGATTATTATGTGTATTCTTTGAACCACTACGGACTAAATTTATCTTTTGATATCTTTTCTTTTTTTTTTTTTTTTTTTTTTTTTTTTTTTTTTTTTTTGTTAGGAAAAGAATTGGTTTCTTAATACATGTATGTATATATGTTCGTTATCTCTTCAACCCCTCTTTCTCTTATTTAATCCCGTTGCTAATGAGAAGAAAGTTATGAATTTCCAAGCTCTAATCATTGCTGACGTTGCGTCAGCATCGAACTCGACATCGTACATTTCCATCTGCAATGTTCAATGAGTTTAACGTTCGCGAATGTCGTGAATGTCGAGAATATTGAATTCATCATACATTCAATTACTCTTGAATTTGACGTTAGTGATAAATTTGGCTGCGAGAAAAAAACGAGGATTTTGTCACGTGAATATTGATTGCTCTAAACGTCAAAACGTCATTGCACAGTACATGTATGAAACGGACTAAAAATATACGTATCTATTGGTCGGTCTACGATTTTTCTTCGTTCGATTTAATTCGATAGAAACGCGTATAGTGCCTCGTGGATTTTTCTACCATTACAGGCGCCGTAAAACGGTGAGCTATGTTTCTAGCTAGAAAATTTTTACTTTATTAAAGTTCCTCGAATAAAGTTTCTCAAAATTTCTTAGAACTTTTCAAATTTTTTCAAATTTTCTCTGGAGATATATATGTGTATATACGTAATATACACCTCAAAACAAGATGTATATTTCTTTAAGAGGAACTTCCTTTCTTTCTTCTCTTTTTCCCTTATTCTTTTTTTCTCCAAGTTTTTTGGTACATCCTAATAATTTCTTTTGTCAATATTTAACGTGGATAATAATAAATTTTTCAAAATAGAGAGGCAAGGAGAACATCTAAATTTTAAAACTAAGTTTTTCTAAGAGACAACTCTTAACGCAAGCACTAATTTTTTTCCTTCTATTTCTGAGAGATTCGTGCGCGTCTCGAGGAAATGCCGTCTACTGGTGTTTTTAAATATATAATTTAATTAATGCAGTTACCCTTCAGTTACGCTTCAGTTACGCGATTGTATACGATTTAATTTTCCTCAGACACATTTTTGATCACCGCCGCGTGGCTCACCGTCCTATCGAATCCGGCAACGCATCTCGCTTTCAATTTCGCAATTTCCTCCGGAAAGATCGAAAAGGTCGCGCTCTTCTCTGGTCCCTTTCGTATTGGCTTGTCGCGAGCCGATCGAGCCGCAGCGTCTGCTCTCGATGTAAAGGATTAATCATTGATCCCTCGATCATCGTCCTGCCGCGTCTCGATGGTGCGGCGTCCACACACCAAAAAAAAAAGAACTTTCAGGGAAAAGGCATGCGCGTCTGATCGCTCCGATCGTCACCGCATTGATACTGTGAACGACTTGTACTCGCTTTTATCGGTATGATCTACACCGTGAGTCCGACCGGTCAAAAAAAAAAATTGTTATCATCTTCTTATCTTTCTTTTTATGCTTTTCTCTTAATACTATACGGGGATACTATATGGTACCAACAATTCAGCCGATTGCAAATTGCTATTCTCCATTCTCTCTTTTTTAACGAACCGTGATGCGTTATATCGTACATATCGTACGTAGCATCTCCATGTGTCCTTTATGTATATGGATATTCCGCGAGCGATGTATCGCTCTATCCTCTATGCGACTCTAACATGCATCGGCATACAACGATACCAATTACGTAATTGTATACGTCCTCGTTAAACAAAACGATCGAATGCGCTTGGTACCGAAACCGCTTGGTCCGAAAGGCGTTTGCGTTTACAGGGGTGGGTTTCGATAATTGTCGCCGCAACGGTTACGTTGCAACGGCGCGCTTTAATTTCTAAAATTGATTGAAGCGAATCAGTGCGGGCGAGAAACCGCACTGATAGTCGGACGAATAATAGAATTGTCACAAAGAGATATAAAGAGATATGATGATGATGATGATGATTTTCGTCTCTTTCAACTTTAAATTTCACTACTATCGCATCAACTAACTATCTATTTGAATAATGTTCTTCAAATAATCTCTCTCTCGAAATATCCTCTTACGATATTTCGTAATTTAACGTACGTATTAAAATCGCAATGTGTGCAATCAATTTTTTTTGTCAACGAAACTTTGTTCTTGAAACGGTTCCTTAATATTTCATCAAGCAAACACGATCAATTAATCCAAACTTGTTGTAGTCATTCAATGATCGTTTAGTTATTTAGCTGTTATTATTAAAAACAGGCCAATAGGTGTTTTTAATAGTTTGTATCTATCTTGCAATAAGCCTACTTCTCTTCTATTTTTTCTGAAACGGTTTTTTCAATTTAACATTGTCTATCTCGGCGAGTAAAAAAATTAATAAAAAAATCAATGTTCTGATGATCTTTCTTTCTCAATTACGTTCTATTAGATACATAGAGGGAATATCGAGTTATATCAAAAGAGAAACACACCGAAAGGATTTCTCGGACTATCTAATCAGATGGTTCCTCTGCTATTGTTAAAGCAGCAACTAGATACTTTAGGCGATCCCGCAATTTCTAATAATTTATACCTTATCCAGATCTTAATGTCGGACTCGAATCGTCGGTATTTCGTCGCGATTTATCTAGGCGAAGTAGTTTTACCGATGATATTTGCATTATCGAACGTTTAATTTTCGTCCCTTCAACCGCTGAACGGACACCTGAAGGGGCCAATTTTATTTATAGTTGATTCAAGATATATTTACGGACGGCGATGTAGCGCCGCGCGTTAATCTACGCGGTGATATACTAGTGATAAACGGGAATGTTGCCGATCAAGATTGTTTGTGCTAAGACGATCCTATCTTATGCCTTTGCGTCGAGAATCTCGACGGTGACGTTTTCCAGAACCGGGTCGGTGACGTTGTTCGTATGATTCGGCGATTTGTTAGATTTCATCGAGCTGGCTGAAGCGTTCCCGCTACTGTTGTGGCTCCCACGTCGCGATCCTGTGCGTGACCCTGGCGACAGAGATTTTCTTGCTAAAGTATCGCGTGCTTTGGCACGACAGAGCGGCAGCACGACACGAAAAGCCAGAATAACTTTAAGCATGAAGACCTGCGCGAAAGAAACGCATTAATCAGAGCAAAATAGTCAAATCGTCACAATGTGAGGTAAATGCATGGTGTCTCTGTGCATGATGTGTGTGTGTGTGTGTGTGTGTGTGTGTGTGTGTGTGTGTGTGTGTGTGTGTGTGTGTGTGTGTGTGTGTGTGTGTGTGTGTGTGTGTGTGTGTGTGTGTGTACGTATATGTCAGTGTGTGCATGCTACAAGGTTTCTTCTTTTCTAGCGAAAGAGACAGAATTTGAGCCTCAACTAGCAATTTATATACTATACGAAAAATCAAATGTTCTTCGTATCGTATATAATTTCAATTATCTAATTAGCTAACTTTATCTGAGAAGTGGATAAGCTTCAGTGTCTGTATGATAAATGTAAAGAAAAAAAAAGAAAAAAAAATCCTTAAAGCTTATTATTCAATTAAATTGGTAAATATTGAAATCGTTATAAGATTAAAAATTGTCTCGTGTTTATAAAATTTGTGCAAAAATGTGAAGGCACGAACGCAGGTGCATTTTTGCAGAGCATGATTTGAAAGGCTTTTAAATTGCGTTACTTCTCTACTTCTCTACTTCTTATAAGAGGGAATAAGAGGCTTTGGTGTGTATAATTAAATTTAAAAAAATCTTAAGAAAATCTTAAAATCAATTTTCTTTTAATATAACAAAATTGTAAATAGAAAAGTAAATAATTTTAATATAATAAATAATTTTAAATTTATCTAATTTGCTCAATTTCATCGTATTCCCTCGCGACATCCTGTACACATCTATACTTCTTTCTATCAAAATATTTTCTCTATGCCTTTACTGTTGATGAATGTGATGTCCCGATGAACGAATTATCGTGCAAATGCAAACAACCATTTTACTATAGCAAGCAACTATAATCGCGAATTTCAATAAACTATATTTATAGGAAACTTTATCTAGTATAACTCACAAGTTACTAAACTGAAGTTGCGACGTGTCCTCAATAGGGCGAGTATAACACTGGATCGTATAAGATTTGTAAAGTTGTAATCTCGATTTATTTGTATGCTTATGTTTTATTTACTTTTGCAAAACAGATTGTATGTAAAAATAAAATCAGAAAGCAAAATCGAATATTTGCCCTCTTAAGAAATCATGTCGCATCGGAAGATGTTTTACAATAGAGCGTCTCAATCAACGGTATAGTCAAGAATAATAGTCACAGTCGAAATCTTTAACAACTACTTTAACCGCAAAGAGAGTCGTATTTATTAGAAAAATATATTTTCACAATTAATAATATATCGCAATGCCAATTTAAACTTCAAATCGGATATAACTGTATAACTGTATAAATTATGTATAATGCAAAATTATTCACTGCTATTTACTGTTTACATAACGCCAATGTAAGATACATTTAAGTTAAAAAAAATAAATGGCAAAGCACAGGCAATAGAATAATTTGAATGTTATCTTTACAACGAAAAAATAATGATATTTTAAAAAATTAATTTTGATTAAAACATCAAGTGATTTTGATTAAAACATGAAAATATTACTTTAAATGGAGAATTCAGCTGTCGTATACGTATGTATATATAATATAGGCGAAAGAATAACTCCTCCGTGATTCAGTTAACGATCTAACTACCCTCTTGGCAGGCGACTGTACATGCGTAAAATACGGAGGAGATTTTGCGTTAAGAAACTCGTAAATAGAGAACTCTTCTACATAAAAGTAGACAGATAGGTAGGTAAATAGTCACTCTCGGTACACTTGTATGTATAATACATACGCAGTTCTGTGAAAATCGATGCACTCCAAAGTCCTGTCTTTCGGATTAAAACCCTCGTTGATATGGAATATGATGGAGTATGTGTCGCTTATGCAATCCAATCAAATTACGCGACCATATACGCGATTGCCACGCAATCATTATCTATAGATGTGTTTGGGGAATCCTAATCCCTTCGGTAATAAAAACTTAATTACGTCAAGGGAAAATAATAATGCAAGTATTGCTTTCTCGTTCATTACAAATTTACTATATGGCAAATTACCATATGGCTTTTCGATCGTACCTTTATTTGTACTTGTAAAAAGAGAATAAACTTTTTGGAAAGAAAGGCTGGCTATCATACATATCAGTGATAATAAATATGAAATAAATCAACGTTTTACATATAAAATGTTTTCAAGAGAGAAAATAATAATTAAATGACGATAGCAGAAATATAAATCAGAATGAGATGACCCAAAAAATTAAATATAAAGCTTTATATAACAAAATTTTCTCTCGTATTTGTATAATCGCGAGTATGAATTTTAATCTTAGTTAGATTAAAAATTTTGCTTATCAATTATCTTAATCAACTCCCAGAGCCTATTAGAGCCTGTCTTTTCCGGAATTCATCGATTTTCACGTTCAGTTATATCGAAAATAGGTATCTCAAACAGGAGAGAGAGAGAGAGAGAGAGAGAGAGAGAGAGAGAGAGAGAGAGAGAGAGAGAGAGTACGTACGT